CCATCGGTGGTTTTCATTCGATTAAAAACATCGTGTCAAATCGATGGATGTCTCACAGCAAAAAACGAGTTTCGCGTGGCGAAAAGCGACGAGCGACGAGAAAATAATTCAATGAGTGCGCGTGAGACATATCAGACGACCAGCGTAGAGATGGATTCAGAGTGGGGCGTGTAATTCAACGTTTTCGATTTGTATATCCGGCACGTCGACCCGATTGAAAGTGCTTCGAAACGATAAAACAATATACTCCGACGGCCTGCCGTCGAAAACACTTCGAAAATGTATTGAAAACACTCGAAAATGATTGAAATCAAACAAGTTACCAGGCGAACAAGAGAAATCTATCTGCCGCGCCGGTGTCGCCTCGTCCATCCTGCTGGTCTCGCGTGCGTATCCTGATCGAACGAATGATTTCGGCTACTCCCACCTGACGAGAAAGACACCGCCGCCGACTGTGAGACGAATAATTTGCGCTTGGTGGGCTCAAACTCGTCGAAAAAAACGTATTCTCGCCGTGAAATGATCGATCGTTCGTTGATGCTTCCCGATGAATTGTCAATCACGCGTCATACCGAGTTTTTTCCCCATGATTACCCGTTTTTTCAAAAGAGCGCGCATGAAAATGGGAAAATGTGAAAATATTGGTTTGGAGAATTTTTGGTTAACATGAACGCATTTTACAGCTCGCAGAGTAGAAGAGACGAAGTTTCGAGGATAGGGAGAGACAAGAAACTGAACTCTATGAATTTTCAACTCTGCGGTTATTGAAATTGTTATTAAAAGAATCTTCCAAATCGATTCACTTAGTCTATTAGTTTGCAAAGGTAAAGGTGTAAAATTGATCGTGTGTAACGATAGAAAAAAAAGAAGAGGGAAGAAAAATATGCATTCGAAGCATCCATATTTATAGGTGACACTTTATAACGTTGAGAATGCATAGCCAGGGTACAGATTCATCTAAATGTAACAGAAAATATGGACACGTACCACAAAAGATGTACAACACATATTGAAGTACGATATTCTCTCTTCCACAGTCACGTGTGACACGTCCAATATATTGGATATTCGTGATTTATAAAAGGGGATACTGGCTATCAAACTGAATCGATACCCTCGACGAATAGATGCATAAGCTCTTGATAACGAAACGCTTGCTACGTGTAAAACATATGAAGCAATAATAATACTGCTAATTTTTTTTTCATCGTCTCAATCCCCACAGCGGAAATAAACGTGTAATTTTCTCTTTTTCTCGATCGTCTATCTCGAAATACGAGCAACAAAAGTGGTTAGCAAATTATTCGTGGTAACGAGGATGCAACGTATATACATATACACGAACAGCCGCTAATTAGCTATCAAACATTGAGAATTTAACGAATATAATTCGTATATAATTCAACGGTCAGGAAAGGCTGTTTAAACGCAGCGAGCAATTATTACGTTGCCGACAATTATTTCGATAACGAGTCATTAGGTAAGCTGCCATAACCGTGATCTGATACGGGGTTGCTACAAGCTGCAGAAGTCACGCATCGAGTTAACCATACGAGCTACCACGGTTTCCTTCGTCGCGAAAGCTTTAATACCTGTGCAAAAATGAACTATGTTCTGGAACGTGCGAGTGAACGCGCGAAAAATGAACAATGTGCGCTGTTAGTTATATCGTTAACGTGGGTAACAACGTTAATGCGAAACGAGCGTTCAAACGCGTCGCCTAATCTAATATCTGAAAACTACAATTTCGCAGAAACTCGAACTTCAAACGCGCGAACACGCGTGAAGCATGTGAAAACAAATTGGGGGAAAAAAAAATATACAGGGAGACAGAATAAAAGAACCTTTTTTCCAGCAAGCATCGGTTAACGAACTACCCACTTTCCGGTTTGAATTAGATTGTCACGCTACGTGATTTCTCGTCAGTTTCGATTGCGTTTGATTTTCAAATTACTTTTTATTATATTCCGAGATATTTGTCCAATTCGAGCAAACTCTAAATCACCGTGGTCAATATTTCCAACGAAAGGATCATTAACGAAACGAGGTGTTAATTTGACCAAGTTTGTTTTGATTGCACAGACGTCGTATTTCACGCCGAGCGCAACCGGAACTTTTTATTCAGTTTCAAGGGGTTACACGTTTGAAAGGATGATTTACACAGCTCGTTTACCAAAAGAATCTACATCTTCGTTTTGCCCTATTTCTTCACGCGAAGATCCCTTCCTCCGTCGAGCATTATCTGTTCCCGATGTTTTGTCCCGATTTTTATACGCTGAAATATGTTTCAGCGAAGGAGAATAGCATTAATCTTTCGCATCTACTCAAACACGCGAACATCGAGATAGGAGGAAATAGGTGGTAGAAACTCGTAGTATTTCGTAGAAAAAAGAAAAAAGTCCCTGCATTTCGTGTAAATGAGCATCACTAAACGGAAGCAAGAAACGAACACTACGATCGGGAAAACAATTTCAACGAAGTCCCAATATCCCGGGGGATCCCCGCGAATCTCCATTCGCCACACAACGAATGAGCAATTTTCAATCTAGCCTCATTGTACCAAGCCAGGATGGTATTTGCGCTTCGTTTCTGCCCGTAATTATATAGCTGTATCGAGGATAGACGACCATTCCGTTTGCCTCGATGACCACAATAATTGGCAGCAGCCACGAGAGGACACACTTCGATACTTCTCATCCGTCAATTCATTAAGATCGCATTCATACATGCCGATTCCTGCGATGATTGTTTCCTCGCCCGAAGCGGCTCAATTACAGGCGCCAGCCTTCATACACAAACACACAGGTGTGTGTGTTTGTGTGTGTGTACACATATGAAAAGAGATGAATATGGAGATGCATAGACTGCGAAGATAAAGAAGGCAAATAGGGAAGAAAGGAAGAGAGAGAAGAGGAGAGATAGAGCGAGGGTGGGAAGGACAAGATAATTCTCATTGTTCAGCAGTGGACGCCCTCGAGGCGTCTGCCACTTCAAAGCCATTCGGCTCTCCGTGGCTCTCATCGAACCAGAGTCCGGCAGTTAATGAACTGCCCTTCGGCGTTGCAATGTACGCTGGCTTGGAGGTACTAGCCGTCTAGGAACCTGGCCAAGCGCCGCCATGGCCCATTATCCATTTACATAAAGGGCCGCAACGAACCGGCTAAGGGTTTACATTACTCCCTTAACCTCGAAGAATTTCCGGGATTCAGTCCCGTTTGGTATTAATAGTCGAGGTAAATCGCGGCAGGTCACGATACAACCTAACCTTTTTCTCTAGCTTCGTGGCGTACCGCTTGATGTTTTACGATCGACGCGTGATCAACTTCGACAACGGTGATGCTCATGGAAATCGTCGAGTGTAGCGATAACGGTGCTACCCGGTAGCGGTACCACCCTTCGGTTCTTCGTTTTAAATAACGATATTGCCGCGACAGTATCGCGCGTGCAAACAGGTACCATAAAATCGCGATTGTTATTGGTCTATTTTGTCGCGGCCGATATAGTGCCGACTATTACCCCACTAGAACGCCAGATAAACCGTTTTGGTGACGTAACAGTAGTTTCGGTTAAAATATCTCCTACGGAGAATTGCCGTTTAATGCAGATTAGAAATCTATTTGTTAACGAGAGCATCGAAATGAGGGGGTGAACGACGGTCAGGTTAGGTACCTGGATCGGGGGAAAAAACGGATTCGTGTGTCGTTGATTGGACCGGGTAACTGGGTTGGTTAAAATGGCCACACCGAGGTTCAATGAGAAGTTCCAGTTTGTATTCCGATGTAAAACACCGATCGATCGGTTTTTTTTTTTTTGGCTAGTTTTCTTCTTGTACAAATCGAGCCTTTTAACCTGTTTTGATCCGACGTAGCTTCTATGGTATGTGATATGGGGAAATCGTTTACTGTTGTTCGCACGGTTTCGTTGGTTACGTTGCCTGTAATGTTAACATACAAGTAAAAACGTTTCAAAATAATCTGAGATTTGTCGCATATAAAAGTGTAGGTTACAATACGGGGATGAAAAATAAATTACCTTAGAAGTATCAATTTCAAGTATTAACAATTAGTTTTTCAATATTTTGTTTTATTTAAAAGATCGTATAATAGGTTATGTTACTTATCCCTTGTGATAATCCAGTGTAATAAAGTATACCGAATGGTAGGTTCAAATATTATTCAAATGAATATAACGTGTTCGTTAGCAACACGAAGTTTGACCAAACAATACCGATCGATTTAGCTCGATCGATTTTTTGATGGCATCGACGTAGGTAAGAGCTAAAATTAGCAAGTGTTGTGAACGAACGCTACAACAAACTCCGCCACGAATTCTCGCGTCAATATGGGATACTCTCACGCAATACATAAACAACATTATTAAAGGTATATGCCGTGAAGTTTATTGCAATGAGATTGTGGCATTACAATAATCGATAAAATAATCTTTCCTAACGTACAAAATTCAAAACAGAAAGTTAACCTCTTCAAAAAGCTAACTCTTAAAAGACAATAAAAAAAAAAAAACAGTCCACTTATTCCACTTTATTCCCCGCTGTCAGAGTTCGCATCAAACCTACCGAAAAGGAAACCTAAAAGGATCTCATCAAATATTGCATACATACACCGCCCTTAAGCAGCGCCACAAGCACAACAACCAAACGACCTACATTACACCAAAAGCAAAGTTCAAAGGCAAAAGCCGGGCGTTTGCGATGGAGGCAAGGTCACGCACAGGGGTGCAACGATACGAAGCCACGTGAGAGCGCAGTGGCATCGTCCAGCCGCTGCAGTGGCGACATCTCGAACGCGATGGTCGTTTATTCGCCAAAGTGACACATACAACACCGTCGTCGTTCCGTCGTAGAGTTCAGCTCGCGTAAAGAGTCTCTCGTAAAGAGTTCCGTGCATTGTAAACGCGTGCCGTGAGTATCAACGACCGGAACAACATACGACGAATATTGTTTTCGAAAAACAAGGAACGACGAACAACGAACCACTCACCTGAACCATTGATGTGTGTTGGCACGCGAGACAGACCTCTCCGCTTGGCGGCAGTCTGATGGCGAAATCAGTCCGTGCCAACCCCTGCCGTTGGCCTCGCGCCCCGTACATTCAGCATCAGACCGCCGCACAACGCCGCCTGCACGCACGCACGCACGTGAGCACTGTTCACGTCACTACCACGACCACGCCCACGCGCCACCGACTTTTCCTTGTCCACGTAGACGGTTTACGTAATGTCGTTAACCGCCGTCAGGGGCGCTGGCCGCGAATCAGAGGCGGCCGCGCGGGCGCAACTTGCGAAAATCGATTATTCCGACTGTGCTCTCTCTACTAGGGTCAATCTTAATCTGGCCGCGATAAATCTATTCGAGATGCATCGCTAATTCACGCGCACACACCCCCAGCTTCTGTGCAGCAGAGGCGCGCGGCGCCGCGAGCACCACGGGAGCCCCCTCGCGGACTCCGTCGCGTGCTGAGAATTCGCGCTATCGATTCGCGGTCGCTCGATGGATTTCTTTGGTTACTTTATTAGAGCATCCACCCGGAGATGGAAATAGGATTTCTCGAATGTTGATTTTTAAAATACCTGATTTAACCGGACCTTTTTACAAGGGGTTGTTATTTTTTAAATAAGATTGATAAATCGAGATAAGGGGGTTGGAAAGTATTTTGGAATAATAGACTAACATTGGAACGTAGACACATTTTACAATTGCGATAAAAATTTGTACGTATCGCGGAAAATGAAAAGCAAATTGTGTATCTTGGTAAAAAGGGAAACTTTGAAATTTATTAAAATTCGTATTCGATTTCAGAGTTTATAAATAAAGTAGCGGTACGATTTACCATATATTTTTCGTTAGATCCCGTTTCGTCCATTGTCCCTCTAGATTAAATGACTCGCGCCGTAAGGGGGAGAAAAAAAATGTTCGATTTCAATTCAATTAATTGAGTTAAAATTCAATTTCACCGAACAATACCACGCGGGGAATTTCGTACGTACATTTTCAAGGGAATCCTTTCACCATTTGGTATCCCTTTGAATAAATGTCCGCCGTATTCAATTTAACTTCTATCCCGGCGTTTAAAGCCTTGGGAAAACCGTGGACAGGTGTTATCGTATTTGCATGATTACCTCTCCTGCCATTCCTAAGATAACACGTTAAAACTGGAACTCGATAACAACGGACCACCGTGCAGGAAATTAAATAGCCGCGTCAAACTCGAACTTTTCGGGCTGTTGCTGCCCGTTGCAATGTTCATCTCTCGTCCCAAAAATTACCCCGGTAGTTTCTCTGCGTCGGTGGGAAAGGGAGAGACAATTAACCGACGTTCTTAACGTTTCGAAGGAAAACCCAGAGAGAAAGCACTTGAGCCCGAAATAAAATTGTTTTTATAACAGCCACTCTACGCGAACGCGTTTACCTATTCATGAGACCACTCTCGCGATACACAACGTGGATGGTTTGCGAGAAAACGAGAGACAGCTCGCACATCTCCTGATCCGTGGGACCTCTAAATTCTTTCCCCGCGGATAATCCGCCGGATGATCACGGATAAAAATGGTCTTCGTTGGTTGGGTCCGCCTTGACGCGGTTTAGAATTCCTGGCAAGCCAGACCGCCCAGGTACTCCAGACGTCAAAAAGCGTTGAATAATTTCTGAATTCGCCGAGACAGCCTGCTGTTACCGTCTCCGCATTCCCCGGTGTATCATACAGTCCAGTTTGCCCGTATGAATGGAAAAGTGTAGGTAGTTATGCATGACCAGTCGTATAAACGTTGGCCATTTCGGTACTGATGGTGGCTTGACAAGGACCAACCAAATCGCCGCTAGCTAGATAACATTCGATAAATAAGTTATCCGGATGGAATTAAGTTTAAATATTTCATCGATCGGTTAATCTTTGAGGTAGATGTACGGTATAATTTATTTAGAGAAGACTTGTCCGAGGAAAGCCACGCCACGGTGATAGAGGAGGTAAAAACGATTGAATCTTGAGATCCTCGCGCAAGAAGTTGGATTGGATCGGAACCGGATGGAAAAAAGATGGCGACTGGTGGGGTATATGCGTCGATGGAAGTCGATTTATGTAAATGCTTCGACAACCGCTTTAAATATCGTACTTTTCGCGAAACGATTTCCTGTGGAAATGGAAATGCACTCTTGATTGAAATAATAGATAGCGTAAGTTCTTTCGCAGGATGAATGAGTTGCGGTAGTTTCGGTAAACGGAAATAAACGTTGTGCAATTTTAATCAATTATATTATAAGGTTTTAAGGTTTTATTAAAAATTTTATTTTTAAGTTTGACTTTGTTGTTAGTCTGAAATATTTTTTTCTACTTTTTGTGTTACAAACTAGGGAGAACCAGAATTTATCGTGGAATACGTTAGATACGTCCATGTGAAATTTTTTACTGTGCGTACTTAATCAATTCTTAAGTTTATTTAGGAACCAATTACAGAGACATGTCGTATTCACAGTTTCTTTGAACGTGAACTGAATTATGAACGGTCTGTTTGCCATACAAAGGATAATTCAAGGGCAAAGCGCTTGGTTTATAATACGGTCCACCATTTCCTTCTCGTAAAGATGACGTTGCCTTAGGGACTCCAAGTATGAATCTTCAATGACGCCGTGCGAGTTTAACGACGAACAGAAGCTCGATGTTCGTTCGAATTTCTTGGACCTTCTCGACGAAGGTATCTTCCGAATATTGCGGTTTTTCTTCGAACATGTAACGTTATTTACGTTACCACTTTTCTCTGTAATCTCTCGATCGTCGGATATCGTCGAAAGCATCGAATCACTTTGAGTCTGTAGTAATGAAAAATTCATCTGTAACAGTGATTTTTACGAAAAGGTTAACAGAGAAAACAAAATAAGAATAGTGTTACACGTGAAATTTGCAGGAAAGTGTAAAAACTGAATGCTCGTGGAATTTTTCTTCTTTATCCAACTGCTCGCGATAGCTTTCGCATTGAGATCTAACGGTCACTATCGATCTAACGGATCGAGCCAATAAAAATACTAAGACAGTTGAAAGCGTCTCGGAGAATACCGGAAGAATCCTCTTTTCGGACAATCGTACAGGGAGATATCAGAAAAGAGATCATCGTTGAGCGTTCGCGAAAGAGTAAGGACTCTTGATTTACCTTTGCATCAACCTCCTGATCCTTCAAAGAGGGCAGGAAGCATTTTTCAGCGATAGCATCCCTCGGCTGTGGACATAAAGAAGAAGTCACTAGTTAAAACGAGTCGAAAGCTCCTTTTACACTCGATCGAAGAATAAAACGAAAGTCCGGAAAAAATAAAAAAATAGAAATTTCCTAAATCTTATGAAATATCGATCTCAAAAACTATCTACGTCAACGAACTCTATCGTTCAGCTTAAAAATTCCGCGTCGACGCAAAGTTATTTCCAAATAGTTCCTCCGCAAGTTCTTCCATCGCTGGCGCCGCGAAACATCACGAGCCATTCTTGAATTCCTTCGCAAATTGTTTTACGGTGACCGTAGTCGTCGCATCGACGCAACCCAACAGCGGAACAAAGAAAGTTCCGCGGAGGGTAAATATGCATAAAGGGGGGAGGGGGTAGTAACTCGTTGAAATTCAGGCCGCGATTATCGATGGAAGAGGGACGCCGGCGGACAGATGAGGATACAAGCAGAGGGGCCACTCTGTCGCAAGGACGAAAGTAAGCAAAATCTAATTCCGGTAGCGGTAGGCGAGTCACGGGACCTGGTCCCCTTTCCACAGAGAGATGTAACGTAGGTTTATCCACGTGTAGAGAATTTCTGTACCTTCTCTCGCCCCCGTATCCTCAATTCCTGCCCTGTCCTTGCGGTAGTTGCGGCCTGCAGTCCTCGCTTTGTGCATATAATTGGATTTAGCTTCGGATACCGGTTTCTACTTCGCCCGCCAGCATCCAACGCTGGCCCTTCGTCCTTTTCCTGCCCTTTCCAACCTCGACCTACCCCCTCCACCCTCTAACTATCCTGTGTTCGCGTCTTATGATTAGATCTAATCCTGCGTAACAGCCAAGGGCTAATTTTACATAGCGGTATCACCTGATGAACAACTAGATGATAAGGGTGGATATGTAATTAATAAACTACGAAACAAGTTTACACCTAGAGGTGCAAAATACCCGGTAGGATACTACTCTCACGGTTCCTAGAATACGACGGTGTTATCGTTAAAGAAAACGTGATCCCTTTCACTATGAAAGGAAACGACGACGACGATGCTTCGACGATACACCTCTACACACCTTCCGACGTATGTACGTACGTAATTACCGAGGATGTAATCGAAAATTACCTCCGGTTAATTTCGTATCGTTCAAAGAGCCAACGAGAAGCGATAAATTAAACGCGGTGGCGATTCATCTCGCGTCGGAATAATTAGCACGTGAACGTGTAGCATTTCTCGAGGCTACGTTTCCATCCTGTCGTTCGCCATCTCCTCTGCACAGCCGCGAGAATAAATCTAAAAACCGAATGACGAGAGTCGCGCGACGTTAACGATCTCTCCTGTAACCAACGTAGGAACAAAACGCGTAACCAAGGGAAGATGAAACGAGCGGGGACGAATGGGGAAGAGGTAGAAAGAAAGGAGAAGAAAAAAGGAAGAGCTAGGAGGAGGCGCTTCGACCATTGTTAACGCGGAAGTGATACGTACGTAATTAATTTCGCTTATAAATCTTCCGGCGGACCATTACGAGGCTTGACTTTTGCACGGCGAACGAGCAAAACGAATCAGTTTTCGTCGCGATGCCTCTTCGCGTCCTCTAATTGGCAATTAAGTATCGAGCGTAACGCGACCAAATGGCGGACGATGTTAATTCGTCATCCTGCCACGCTTCGGCTATCCTTTTCCAACCATTCCCCTCCTCTCCCTCGCTTCCCTTACTCCGATATTACAGTTTTCAAGGGCTGATACCTGATTGCGATTTACACGTCGTGACCACACGATCGTCCGATTCGAGTTTTTCCACGAATTCAACACTGCAAACCCTCACCCTCTCGTCCCTACTTTCGAAATAGAGACGATTTTTCGTGTACAATTTCCAAAGAGATTCGCTACCGTGTATTACGAGGTTGTTACAAATCGAAATTGCTCAGCCAGTGTGTATTGAAAATTTTCACATTTTCAGCTCTACAGGCTTTGACTTTCTAGCAACATTTTCGTGCTGAAAAATATTCAGGAAAAATTTCATCAGTCGAATGCTTTTAATTTGCGAAATCCTCGAGTACAGAAGTGGTGTACGCGTTTCAGTAAACGTTCGTTGTGTGTTAATTTTGAAGAGAGCACGAAGTATCGTTGAAAGAAGAGGAAAGTATAAATGTAACGGCAATTTCTTCTTTCTTTCCTCAGATTTTTATCCCCGTAAAGATGAAGGAGCCTTGTTATCGCTGCTATTATTAATTCGAGACAATGCTGCGAAGAGATTCAGTCGTCAAGATTAAGGGAAATATACGTTTCTTGTAAACGAGGTAAACAGCTACGAGTGCAATTATCGCGAGAGCAACGCGAACTGTAGATACCATCGAGATAACAAACGTTAATTGATATATTTCATTACATAAACAATACAGGAACAAAGTCGCGAGAAATACGAGATACTGTTTTTTCTCGTTCCAATTAAATACTGCAAGCTAATTAATGCAAAACTGTGCAGGAAATCTCGCAGAAAAGTTGCGAAAAAAATCAGCTGAAAAATTCTTCGAAAACCCAGGCGACGTTACAATTTCTCAACAATACTCGAAGATCGTTTAGATTTTCATTCGCAGACCTCTCCGGGATTATTCATCACGCGAAGAAGCGTCAGAAATGTTTCCGAACGTAGTGTTCACGTTGCTTGTGAAAAACCTCCCGTCGTTATTTTCCACGGTGGAATAACTTTCCCTGGTCCGACGTGGCCACGTCAAAATTCTACCACGTGATACGTACGTACCTTGTGCTTGTGAGCTTGCAGCAGAAGTATCCGCTGGCGATTACGCGCGCTAACTGAGTTCCCGTATGACCTTCGCCGCATCAGCCACTCTCTCTGGAACAACAAACAATCCCTGAAGCAGCCATCGCTTCGATGAAACTTTCAAACTAAACAGACCGGGGGGTTTTCGACCAGGACGCCGGAGGCTTTATTTACTTTTTACGAAAGCCCCGCGACGACCCCTACCATCATCCCTCTGCAAGTTTCCGGTAACGCGAGCACGTACACGTTCACCCTCTACATCCCCGAGAACCGTCTGACAGCGGCACACTTCCACTCTGTATATACTATATATATATACACACACACACACATATAAACCTCTCATTTCTATCTCTGTCTCTCTTTCTCGGCTATACACACCAGAGAAAGAGAAAAAGAAAGAAAGAGAGAGAGGAACGCAGCATGCATCCAGCACGGGGTTTGCCCGTTAAAAGTGCAGTAAGATCGATCGATCGAGCTACGCCGAAAATCGTCGAGTACCAACTCTCTCTCTCTCTCCCAGCCGAATCCAGCGAGTAAAGTAGATTATGCAAATGCTCGTCGAAAGAGGAGGACGACGCAAAGAGGGACGAAGGTAACGGTGGTATGGGTAAAAGGGAGGAGAAGGAGGAGAGGTGGTGAACCAGGGTAGATAGAAAGGAAGAAGAAAAGAACGGTAAGAGGAGAAAGAGGAAATTGTATCTGGCTGAAGGGTCAGGCTCGATGTATCGCGCCAGGCTACTATCCTTAAAAGTTAAATGAGCCAACAAACGACGTTGGATGACCGACCTGTCTATTTCATCCCGCTCCCTCCCTTTTACATACCGCGCATTTCGATCTCCCTGCCCTGTCGTTGTTCTGTACTAACCCTCTATTCCTCTCTCTCTCTCTCTCTCTCTCTCTGTCTGTACTTTTTCGTTTCTCTGTTTACACGTCGCGTCATTCTCTCGCGGAACCGCAACGTTAATGCACGTCGGTGCAGTTAATATCGCGGCAAGTTAAACCGCCGGCAATATTAATACAACCTCTCGGGAGTCGGTGTAATTATGGGCATTATGGTGTACCTCTGCTGTCCCCTTGTTCCAGCCCGCTGACCTCCCCCGGCGTTTCATTTAAACTGTCCTCGACGGCGCGTCCACCAGGAACAAATTTATTCGCCGTGTATCGGTGTACTTATTTACACTGGCACCGGGTTACCCGGTAATCCGGGATAATAGCGAGAGAATGTACGACAAATGTGCGGCTGTAAGAAAGGGGACCGTGGATAAAGTCCGTATTTTTCTCCGGGAGCAAGTTGCTGCTCGGAACTTCTTTTACTCTCTTGTAAACCCCTGTAACCGGGCAACCTTGCCTATCGTTCGTGTACAGTGGTTTAACCGTGACAACCTTCCACCTTCAGCGATAAGTTCCCGGAGCTTTTTATGGTAATTATAAGTTCGTCTTCCGTTGCGTTTAAAGAGATACACGACGAAGAATTGTAGAATTTCACGGGAATTACGGCGGGAGGATTAGAAGATCGAATTGATACAAATAATTCCTACGCGAGAGTAATCTCTGGAAGATTCATCAACGTGTGCTCGCTTGAAATTATACAAAGTTTGATTCACTTCGTAACTCAGGTCTAAGATCATCCTTGGTCTACTAAATATCCTAGGATATATCTCCCAGAACTGCTCTCCAGGTTAAACAGAGCCTCGCCGCTCTGTAAGGTCTCGCCTCTATCAGAATTCCTTCGATTTCAGTAAACTTTTAATCTATGTTACACTTCGTACCGTTATAATAGATGAAAAGTTCCAAGAAACTCTCACCTCTCGATTAATCGCAGTTGATGAAAAGCACCATCGAAACATTTTTCTTGAATCTGAATTTCCAAGAGAACGAAGGTGAAGATGAAAAATCCGAAAAAAAAAACCCCAAGCACAGCTGGCAGATTTCGATTAAGGAGAAAGAGGGGGCCGAAGTAGAACGGGCCGTATGAAATTTTAATTTCCAATCCGCTAAAATCGTTGCCTGTAATAACGGCTCGCGATCATCCCAATGGAATTCCCACTGCTTAGAAACAGGCAGAAGGAATGCGGATAAGTGTCTATGGGAGAATGCACGTGAGTCCACGGACAACCCTAACCATCCTCTCCCTGCCTCCATCCCCCGGCTGAAGGTCTCTCGAGTTCCGGCTCGCGGTGCTCGGAACTCTGAAAAATTTACAGACCGGCCCACCAGCTCCGGAGTATTTAGCTCAAAGGCTTCTGGAATTTACTATGTCTCGGAGTATGACGGCGGCAACTATTTCCTCGTCGTACGCCTGGCGTCGCGCGGCTGCCGGAGCTGCGTCGGCACGCCAGCCAGAATGCCGTCTCGGAAGAACAGCATTTCTGCCGACTTTTCGAAAGCATCCGCCGCTCTCACGACGCCGCTAGCCTGGATGCTAGCTATGCTTCTTCCGCGAACCGTCTTTGAGCGTATCTAACGAAACTTCGGCGGATATGTGGCTTCTTACTGACGTGTCTAGAGTTTCGAGATGTCTTCTTAGTGCAATGATGCGGAAATTCTAGTGATCAATCGGTTCAGAATGGTTTTAAACGAGGTTTCAACTCCTTATCTTTATCAAACTCAGATTTCGCGAATTTCGATGCTCGACTGATTTTACGAACTTACCGTATCGCTTCCACCGACTATACTCTCGCCGCGAGTTCAACCAACCTTGCTCCTGCCGCTGATCGGCAATCACCTCAATGCACGCGCCATGCATTCATCACGCCACTCGCTCATCCTACTCACTCTCACGCGTATGCACTCAATCTCACAATATTTGTTAAAAAATTCTAAAAAATAAGCAATTTTAATTCCTGATTACTTGCGACGGGTCATAATTGACCCAATACAAATTCCATCTGATTATTATTTTGTCATTCCAACTAACACACGGCTGACCTGCATTCTGGTCTCCTAAAATCTCTTCTTCTCAGTTAAAAAAAGAAATATTAATTTAAAAAGTCTAAGTATAGCAATGGAACTGAAGCTATTTGTTCCTTAGAAGCCTTATTTCTGATCAAATATCTTTCTAAGCTCATTGTAAGTCTCTCTCGCGTCTAGATGATCCAATGTGAAATACGACCGAACAGCGCGAGTAATTAATAACTTCAACACGATTAATCGACAATTCTTCACATATCCAGCGACATACGAATTCGACAGGAGCGATACGAAGAAAGTGGAAGGCGGTGAATGATAAGGTAGCTGCGAGGGAACAGCCGCATGTTTATTAGATTGAAGTTACGAAGACGGGCGACAAGCTAACTCGCTTTAGGTCTTCCGTGAAATTGTAAACTGTGATGGGTCGACGGAAGCGAAGTTTCTTCTACTTCGCTTTCTCGGCACCGGCAGGTTAACTTCCAGTGGGACAAGAAAACGAGATTGCAAGATGTCTCTGTTCGAACTTCTGCTAACTCGACTTTAGCCCGAATAGCCGCGCTCATCCGCGAATCATCAAAAATGCGATTCATGTTTTATGAATATGAAAGTACACGTCGGGAAACGTTCCTGCGAGTAAAGATGCCGGAGGTAAGTCAATTTAAGGGGAAAAAATTCTGTGATATTGAATTTGGAGTTTCTCCGCTGGTAGATTCTCCAAGATAAACGTTATTCCACAATGTTGAGATACAGGAAGATATTTTTAAGTACAGTCGATTGATTTGTATAATATTTCGAAGGTACTTCTCACGTTTATGACCTCAAGTTACCTTTGAGGTTATTTAACAACCTCTGAATAACTATGAATAACATTTACATAATCTTGAATAATCTTCAAATAGTTGTATTCTCATAATATCTCTTCAATAGACTACAATTTGTTACATATCTTTCAATCTCCCTTGTATCATAATTGCAAAAAGAAATTAACCCGCCCAATACATACCTAATAAAGTCTAAGGAATATCGAACGTAAATTAAAAAATTATTAGAATCGTAAAATAATAAGAATCACAATTCGAGTAAACTCAGCTCGAATAGATCAACACATCAGCAGAATTCATTTCCAACACCAAGTATCTCCACTCTTCCATTTGGATCACGCGACGAATAAATCTCAGCACAATTAAGTACGGTCAAAGGATGTAACAGGCGAGAAGAAGCGAAACAAACCTACCTTCGCTTGCATCTCAACTTTATCGGGCCCAAGAGATCGATCGAGCTTCGGTATCGGCAAAGTCTTGTACTCTTCGATGGTGTACGGCCTGTAACCGAGACCTTTCTTCGATTTATCGCCAGACTCGTCGTGCTTAGCCCTGTTCGGGCAAGTGGAGACGATGTTCGTGTCTTGGAGCTCGCGTAGGTGTACGGTTTCGATGGATCGAGGAACAGAGGCCAGAGGATCGGTAGATCCTTCGATTATACGCCGATAAAAACTCAGCTCGCTTTGATCGTCCCTCGGGGTAGCCAGCGAACCTGTATCGTCGTCACTCAGCTGCTCTCGCTCGCTGTCCCCGCAAACCGACAAGGTGGAACCCTCCGGGGATCGAACGTTGTATTGTGGTCCACCTGCAACGAACAAGAAACTGAAGATGCATCTTCCTCTGCTCCTTCACCGATCGCTTTGAAATTAAAGTAGAAACTAGGAGTTTCGATCCTTCAAGGTCATTTTTTCGTTGACAGTATAAAGGCAAAAGGATTCTGATATTTTTTGTAAATAAAAAATGCACAATACGCTGGTCTATCTCTATACGCGCGGGAAAAGACAGGCGACGGGTTGCCTGATTTCGGGCGCCTTTGGACCGATTCTTAAAATGCTTATAAATAAAAAACGAAGCGTAATTCGCAATTTTACTATTCTTGATTCTTGTTTTATTTCACCGTGAAAAGTCATTTCTTAACGTTTCACTCATCGATTGTGTACAAAATGAGAAAAATATCAAATGTTTTACGTTTCGGTAAAACTCGTGACCTTGACTTTAACGCGACGAAGAGATCATGCTCGAAGGTGTTTCGTGCACGAAACACCACGTAAGTAAACACGAGTGGAACAGAGTTAATTTTTGAACAGTATGGATTACGTTAAACGGTCTCGAGGCTGTTGCTGTTGGTCGAAGCGAAAGGAAAACAAAGTGAAAGAAGCCTGAAATGGATTTGATACGTGGTCAGCCTCGACGGAAATGCAGGTGATAAAGCTGCAAGATTAGCGGGCGAAACTTTCGAGAAAACAGAATGAAATGAGAGTGAAATTGCAAGCGAAGTATTTTAGAATTGGCTTAAAGCCATGCGACGAGTACCGATTCGACAAATCGTTGTTTTTTCACGAAGGAAAATGAAAGAAGAACACGATATGACAATATTTGTAAATTAGATGAAAATTCAACGAAACACAATTTTACAGCATCGATGAGAAATGTTTCTCGATGATTTCGAGATAAGCCAAATTCTTCGAGCCATCTAACCCTCGAAATCCCTTCGATATCAAACCGTATCAGCCTTTGTGTAATCTCCACAGGCCTTGTATCCTGTCACATCTAACGTTTTAAGAATACCCACCCTACCGGAAACGATCTTTCTTCGCCGTCCTCGGAGATCCGAAATGGAAGCGTCGCGCTTCGAATTACAGAAAGATCCAACGATGTCCAAATAACAATAAAGCAGGACAGTGTAGCGTGAGCAAACAAGCAGAGAAGGGAAGAAACAAACAAGGAAGGGACGCTCCGAGACGAGCGGCGTACGTTCTAATCCTTCGCGCAGATATATATCACCGGCGTGGAAAAGACATCTAATCACGACCAAAGTAAACGTTCTCCGAGAAAATTGCCTCGTTCCGGTGGCGTTTCGAGCGTCTCCGCGTAAATGCACCCGGGCCGAAACTCTTTCGCGCGTCGGTCACGAACGACGAAGAAGGAGGGAACGTCATCTCGTTTCGAACTAACTGAATCTCCGACGATAAAGCTCCAAATAGGAGCGTGGCTTCCTCGCCGGTTGGATCCTCGGGGCCAGCACGTTGCCGAGCTTTTTATCCGTCCTCATAGGCATCGGACTGTCCATGGGGCAGTAACTTCGTTTCGTCGAGAACGTCTTCGGGAAACGCTTGGAACACCTTGTGACGACCCTCTTATTACCACCGTCGTTTTCCTGGTTAGAGCTGTTCGTGTTCTAAAAATCGTTTCAAAATTATGTTTAATATACGAACAACGGACGCTGGGTCAAATGTGACCCAATACTAAAATCTTCGTACGCAGCTACACCATGTTTTTTTTTTTATTTTACTAGGCATCATATTGTTTAAAATTATGTGCAAACATATTGTGATTAAAATAAAAAACTTATTTGTAATATAAGGAGAGGAGAGTCGTGACTTTATTTCGAATCATCTATACACCTGGTCAATGATGACCCGACTTACACCGTTCTACGAAATTCCTAATGTCATTGGGGATAATTGTAGTTTTTTATGATGTACTGAGGTTTTAATCTATACGAAACCGGTGACGAAGCGTGTGCATCATGCAATGCCTATTCTATCTAGCCGCTAATACACCGTGTGCGTTTTGCAATGTCTATTCAATCTAACCGATGACGCATCATATGCGTCATATGAAGAAAATCATGTTATCAGTTAGTATTAGAAGATCAATCGAAGAAATAAGATCGCGTAAACTCGTGTAACAGAGAGAACATTATGTGAAATTAAAAAGTGATATTGGTTTCAATTTAAAGAAAGAAACGAATAGTCCTTCAAAATATGAATAGTGATGAAAAAAGTGATTGTCTTTTAGAGATCGGTCTCGAATAGATTGACAATTCTTGACGTGTTTGATTCGCTGTATTTTTACAAGTATGTGTAATATACGAATTCGATGTTTGTAAAGGTTTCGATGTTACAATAATTCTCTCATTTTTTACCTGTGCTGTGAAATATATAGTCTGAGTAGTGATTAGGTGAAAAATTAGAATCAATGATTAGATATTGGAGGAATTTGTGGAAGAAGAAAACGAAAATTAAACTAAAGGAAAAATGGAAAAACCGGAAAAAAAGAAAATGATTAGGTGCAGGATTGTTTATAGCAACATGACTACTTAGTTCATTTACTATAGTGAAATTTTAACTTTAGATCAGGCTGGTCTATTGGCTCATCTGCAAAACAGATCAAATTACAAAAATTTGTGTTACAACTTTGAAGATGTAGAAGTGTTAGCAATGACTGTACATACTGTAAGTACATTAAAAAATTCAGGATTATTCTCCTCAAATATCCTTTTATACCTGTAATCAAAAAAAAAGGTAGCCTTAAATATTCGATTAATTTTAAACAAAGACTTGGTATCATTCCTGTTCATCGTTTCTATTACAAATGTTTAAAAGGTGTTCAGATGTGAATGTTCTTGAATCAGCCTGCAGTCTCGTCCTGAAACGGTTTCTTATCACACCGATGGTCTTACGTTTCTCTTAAGGCGATCCGTGACGTCTCGTTTTCCAGTCCTCGAAGACGCCGGGCGTCGTCGCTTGGACGCGTCTGTGAGTTC